AAGTTCAAAAATAGCTAGTTTTCGAAAAGGTGAAAAATTAAAGATATCTAACTTCCCATGAAATGGCAGCTGCCCTTGGACATGGTAGGGCTATGTGCCTCCCCTTATTTCATGCCCACACTGGTTCAGACACTACATCTGGATTCCACGGTTAATTAAAAACAACAGCATGGAAACATTGGATTACTTATCCGAGTTGACAAATGCACTTAAAACTTTGGCTGAAGATCCGAATAAGTTAGCCAAAGTTATGCCAATTATTGAACGTTTTGTTGTGATTTTATACAGTAGAGACAACAATGAAACAACTGGAAATGCTGCAGGACAAGAAATGTTCACAAAGAAAACAAATCAAATTGAGAGCATCCCACCAACATAAGTTGCATGCTTTACAACAGCATATCAAACATGTTCTATTCCAGGCAGTTTATTTGTGGGGCCAATTATACCTATGTCAGTCCTCCCTTCAATTGGGTTGGGAATCCATTACCACAAAGGCTGGGAAAATGATTTGGGTGCCAGTGTGGAAAACATTGCCCCAAGCTTCAGATGCATGCCAAATGCTAGTAAAATGCAGCTGCAAACAACAATGCTCAACAAAAAGATGCAAGTGCTTTAAAGCCAATCTTGCATGTACTGCCCTGTGTTTGTGTGGACTTGGCATCTAAGTCAGTGATAATGATAATAGAGTGTTGAAGTGCTTAAATGCACAAAATAGGATATCTGAACTGCAGTTAAGATACTTAATAAGGTAACTTGTATCAATTAGTCAAAGTGCTCTCATTAAAAGCCAAAATAATGTATCATTAATTGTGAATTCTATATTATCATATCTACAAGAGGGTGTGGCCTTTCACAAACCTTTAACAGTGAAATTGACTTACTTACAGCATCTATTCTCTTAACATTAATAACTGACTTAATCTTATCAATTCTATTCAGCCTTATTAGGTAATTATTGTATTCATAATAGAAGACTCATTAACTTGTATATTTAACATGTTGATAAAGTGGGCGTCGCCCTTGGTCAGGCTTTAACAATGAATATCCATGAGCAATACTGATGCAATCTTGAAAATTGCTTTTAAACACTGAAAATAACATACTAAAAATGAAGTTAAATCATATTCAAAAAAGAAATTCAACAAAAAAATAATTCTTCTCTCCCCCTCCCCCAGGGTTTTTATGGGAGGGGGTATTTGCAATTTTCGGTCATTCTAGTGAACCACAAAAATGGCTCTGGCTCTTAAATCAAAGGGAATAGTGTCCTGATGATATCTGGAAAGTTTCACGCTTCGTTCCATGAATAAACTATTTTTGCACTATTGATCTCGCTATCATAAGGTGTATTCAATAGGTCTGCTCCTCCTCAGAGTTTGTTTCATTTTGGCTATATATCTTATTCTTGTGGCCTGACTGCCATGAGACTGCTGCCATAAGAATAATATATCTTAAGATTTCTTAAGTTTCTGGGACTTATATTTACAAAGACACAGTACCAACTGTTTAATGATGCAATATACTACAGCCAAGGAAATCACCACTGTAACTAATACAAGCAGTAGTATGTCCAACAAGAAGTACTGGAAGAAGTTCAGTTCAAACATGGCAGAAGATTTCAAGTGATGTGCGCCTTTGTGCTTCATAATGTATTCACACCAATACTGAATTGTGTATGTAGCATTGATGGGTTGATCCCGGACCAGTTTCTGCGCTTTTACAGCATTTTTCTTGTATTGAGGGTTTCCGAGGACCTCAACAATCGCAGCAGAAAATGTGTCCAATGTGATATCAGCAAATGATAATGTTAATCCCATTTTATGACGTTTTGTCAAAAGAGCACAGTGATGGCGCTGATCTATAAATAAAGGAAGACCGATCACAGGTGCAGCGTTGTAAACAGCTTCTCCCGAGCTTCCTGATCCACAATGGGTAATGAATAATTTCAATTTTGGGTGCCCAAGAAGATCATTTTGTGGTAACCATGGTGACAACATTGTATTGCTGCCTAGTGATAAAGGATCAGAGCCAATATACCTCCATAAAACTCTTTGTTTCAACATGGCAAATGCAGTAGCAAAAATTTCCCGAGTTTGAGCATCGAAATCTGTTGCCATTGAACCAAGTGTAAAGATGATAAAACCATCATTAGCGCCATCTATGAAGTTGAGATACTTTGCATCAATTGGCTTATGGTCACGATCTAGTAACCCTAATACAGGGACAACATTTGGCATGATTGGACGAGGGTAGAAGTGTGGAAAATTAGATTGAATAAATATGAGGTCTGCATCATTGAGAACAGGTCTAATTTCATGAGGGAGTCCAACTTTATCAGCGACCTTTGCCAAAGCATCATTTGTTGTATCACACCAGTCTTTCATGTAGTACTGTAATGCCACATAGTAAAATGTATTCATTGCTCGTTCTTTAAAAGTCATTTGGTCACTATATGACACAAAATTGATAGGTATATATGATACAGGGAATGGCACCAGCCAGTTATCGATATGCATCTCAAAGCCGGCATTTGACCAAAGTATGGCAGGTCTGTCTAGATATTCCTTCATGAGCCTTCCTAAAGCAAAATCTTGACTGTCAAATATTATCAAGTCAAAATTCTGAGCTTTGAGTCCCCTCCATTGGTTCATATCTGAGAAATATGCAGAAATGGAATAGTTAACATATATGTCGTGGATTTGTCCTTTTTTAAACATAAATGCCATTTCTTCTAGAATTGTCATTTTCGTGAAATCTGTTATCGTATCCTCTCCCAGATTGTATGCTAGGTCCTTACTGGGGTACTGGTATGCTATAATGGTAACATTTGCTGCTTGAAGTATTTCTGAGGCAGTGTATTCCGTGTGGACGAAGTATGTTACATCATGGCCAGCATTTGAAAGGAGTAATGCTATCTGCTCCATGGCTCTGATTCTTGATAATTTAAACAGTGGATAAGGTTGAATCAGCACCTACAATAATAAAGTAGCCGATACCACTATGTTAAGGACATTTAGGCAAAATCATATTTGTTAAATTTTACAAGAAAATCAAAGTTATGTCCAAGATAGATTGATGGAGTGCTTCACCTTACTCTGTTTACTTAGTTATGTAATTATAATGTAAAGTAAAATATAAAGTTACCTTTCCAGTGTTGACTTTTTCGAGAGCAAAACAGCTCAGAACTAAAAGTAAAATAACTCTCATATTTGTTTTTTCTCAAGACACTTATGGCAGAATGTGCTCTAGATACTAAGACTTATTTTACTTTATTATCCCAACGAACGAAGTTAGGTAGGGATATAGTGAAGCCCTCCGTCTGTCCGTCCATCCGTCCGTTCCGTCCGTCCGGATGATAACTCAAATATTAGTTGACCGATTATCTTCATATTTGGTGGAAAGATGTATATTGATGAATAGTTTTACGCAACTTTTCAAGATGGCCGCCACTTTAAAAATGACGGGACTTTTTCGCAAAAATCATAAATTTTTCATTCTAAACCAAAGTAATTAATATTATTGTTTGAAATTTTGGTAGTATATTCACAACATCTATCTATTTTACATATATTCCATGTTTTTCATACTGACCCCCAGGGTCAGGAAAATAGAAATTTTCGCTAATTTTTTGATCTTTCTGAAGTATAGCTTTATTATACTCAAATGAAAGGCAATTAAGAGTAGATTGCAAATATTGTATCTTTTTACTGATTCGAGCCTTGTAAAATTCAAAATGGCCGTCCAATGTACGATTTCGCAATAATTTTTCGATCCCTTCAAAGTATGCCTATATTGTACTCAAATTGAAGGAATTTTGTATTAGACCACAATTATGGTATTTTTTTCCAGATTTGTACCTCAGAAAATTCAAAATGGCTGCTTTGCAGGAATTCGCAATTCTAAAATCTAAATTTTTCAATTTTAACAAAAGTAATGAGTATAATTGATTGGAATTCGGTAATTGATATTTTATTCGTTGGGATTTGCTACTCCGCGGAGTTGCCGTTATCTAGTTGTTGTATAGTAAAACCTGCATAAATGGAACACCTGTGGTATCTTTGGTAAAAATGTTCCACTAAGAGGTTTTTCATGTATAGCTCAAGATAAACATCAAGAGTCTACATTCAAGTGGGATATTTTTGCACTTTGCTACCAAATGTAAATAGAAAAAGATGTCAAAAAGGGATGAATTATCTGTTCGATGTCAAAAGGAGTTTTTATCTGCAATCAAATATGTGACCTTTCATTGTGCTCAGGTAGCGACTTGTAAAGGTCATAAGTCATTTTTGTACACTACTAGTGTTTTAATGGGTTGATTGTAGTGGCATCTTTTTCATAATGATTCCAGAAAAACAGAATGTCAGATTGATTAGACACCTCTAATGCCTCCGTCACATTTGATCTAATGCAACTACTGTAGATTGGGTTAATTAGGCGCCCGCTTTAATTTGGCGAATTTTGCAAAATAGAAAAAATGCAAATTTACACTTTGCTAAAATTTAAAAGGGATCCTCAAAATTTTGTCTGTTGTGTTCAAGTCACTTCTGGTTTAGTTTTTACAAATTCTGGAAAGGATAAGAATGTTAATCAGAACATGTCACTTCCAAATTAATTGGCTCTGGGGAGTTGCTTCATTAATTAATTACTAGATATAGTAGTTGAATTGAAGGAACATGTGTAACAATTTGTATTTTGTTCCAGTGTCCAAGCCCTGGTGTCCTCCAAATTAAATAGCCGCCAATATGCCAAAAATGGAAAAATCACCAAATTAAGTAGCGCTAAATTAACCCAGTCTACAGTTTACATTTGCTGTAGTTTCCCAAATTGAGAGAAATATGCTGCATGGAATATAGAGATAAGCAGTACGATGTAGATTTTCTCTATTGATTTTGTGAAGCTAAATTGGCTGCTTTCAGATTTTCTCGAACATGCCCCTCCAAAATTATTCTGAGATTTTCCAATACAGTTTGCTCATGTCTTTGCATTATGCCACCCTCCTAGGTTGAGTTTGAAAGAACCAAAGTTGATGATGATGGAAAGGAGTCCACAAAGACTGTGAAACGTACCCTGTTTGGACGGTGGAACCCATACCCCCAGAAGAAGGTGATGACCTTCAACAAGCACACCACAGACTTCACATTTGATGTTAATTATGGAGACCTGTCATTTTTATCTGAGACAGAGCTAAAGTAAGAAACTATGAATACAATTTTAAATCAATGTGTTTTATTTTTTAACTTAATTAATATTATATGTTTCTATTTAATTATTCATGAGCTTTGCCTATTAATGTGAATCCAACCTAATTTGATACCTCCCAGATTTTAGAAAGCAGAGTGTGACATTATCACTGCTTATATTTTAATTGGATCAGAAGATGGTTGGTTACATGTACATGTAAGAGAACAACATGATAACTGGGTGAATACATTAATTTTGAGCATCAGATTAGAAGTCCTAGTATTGCACTCTAACATTATATCAAAACTGGTTGCAGGACATTTGGTGACCTTGAACTGAACAAGGTGTCATTGGCGGGTGTAGCAGATGCACATACCAAATATGGCAAGGATGCAGAGTCTAAGGGGGTCAAGGCACACTTCAAGATGGATGAGAGTGGAATACTGGTTCTAGATAAGGTAATACATCTTAAAGCGAAAGTCTTTATGCAAAGTGTATCCTCGTTTCTTTTGACATGATGAACATGTCAAAAGAAACGAGGATATGGTATAATAAATGATGTTGATGAATTGATGAAATGAATGAAGAGGTTTTGTTATAAGAATATGATAGAAATTCCATTAAATCACTTCATTCGCATATACTCATTGGCCTTTCAGTTTAATTCTAGTACAGTAGTATCTGCCCTATTTTAAATGGACTCAAATCCAAGATGCTCAATGTGATGAAATTTAGTGTTAACATTAGAGAAGGACCCATTTCATTCAGCAATAAGATTGGAGGTATTTCCGCACTCACATAAAATGTCAAAAAAGCAGCCAACTATAAATATTATTGTACTTAAAATATGAACTCCAAATTGAAGAATAGCCATTTGTATATCCTATTGTATTTATAGGTCGAGTTCCAATTTGAAAAGCAACCATCACCAGAAGATGACCAGTCAACATTGTCTAGTGAGTAGAATTGGTTGTTGTAAATACTTATATACACTGGCTATTGTATCTCTTATAGAATATTGACACATTCATTCAAATATGGGAGGTGGTACTTGTCTTGAGTAAAGAGCATCTTAATATTGTTGTAGATTCAGTTAATTTCCAAAGAGGGGGTCATTTCTTGAAAATGTTGTCAGTGACGACTTGTGACATTCAATTGTCTTTGACATTCAATTGTCTTTTGTTGCTATAGTAATGCATCAAGGACAATTAAATTACAGCAATCCTAATGACAACGTTTTTTTTTCCGGAAATGGTCTCCAGTTTAAAAAAGTGATTTTGTTAAACAGTTGAAAATATTGTCTATGTATTATACTGTAAACCTTGTTATACGATCTGGTTCTATTTTGTAAATTTCTGAGTTCTGAACTCAGAAATGTGCTCTATGCTGAATAACCTGTTTTACAGTCTGGAATTATGAAGGGTCAGTTTGTTGATTTTTGTTTAGATAAAACAGATGAAGCCTTCTCTTTTGCCAGTAAGTGGCATGGGGACATGGATGTTGTAGCTCCTAGCTTCAGACTATACTAATTTGGGGTCTTGCGTTAGCAATTAATATTACATGGCCTGTTTCGTGAAAAGATGTATATTGCGTAACACTAAAGTCTTTAGCTGTATTAATTTAGCATTTACCTCCCTGTCTGTGTAAATCCTCCTCTGAATCCCTTGGCTGAATTGTTGTGAAATCTCATAGCAGAACGCCTGATGTAAATACTGCTTCACAATGTTCATCATTATATCAAATCCAATAGTGAATTAACAATACCACTCTTTCAACACTTTGAAGCCCAGTTAATGATTGCTGATATTGGTGACAAGGAGTTGAAATTAATGTAGAAAATTTTTGTGATTTTGGTTTCTCTGTGTAATATCACACCATTCTGTGTGGTATCATTTTTTTACCAATGAGTTGATATTGAACATGATCATGAGTGAATGTATCGAATAGTTGTAAATCTCAATTTTTTAACTTTTTCCATTTTAGCAACTGAATTATTTTGATTATGCTTTTTTATGTTAGGTGGTAGAAACAGGCAATTTATTTTGGTCACTTGGGGCTTTATTTTGTTTTGTATGTCAATATTGTGTCATATTATAAATGTTGCCTTTCCAGATCATGAAAGTTAAAAATAATTAAATCACTTGGTAGTCGATTCCCTGGATCTGTGCTCTGTTATTTTGCAGTAATTACAGACTTATTAGAGTTAAGCTGTTATATTGTTACTTCTAAATATTGAGAATTCAAACTTTCAATGAAGCAAATTCTTCAAAATATGAGAGGAATGTTATGTATCATTCAATTCAGCCGTTTTATGTTTTATATTTGTGGATAAGAAAATAAAATTCAGCCATGATAGGAATTTGGTTACGATCTAATCATGTGAGCAAAATCAATCATAAAATACAATTAAAAACAAAACCTTGCCAATATTTCAGAACTAGGCAACACAATCTCAAACTTTTTCTCTGGCTCAACAGACGAGAAGCCATCAGAGGATGTGAAGGATGGAGAGGCAAAAGAAAGTGAGGCTAAAGAGGGTGAGGCAAAGGAGGGTGAAAAGAAAGAGGCCACTGAGGACCAGAAAAAAGAGACTGATGATGAAACTAAGGAGACACCAGAGAAAGAGGTATAATGTTCATTTGAAATTTTATGACTTAAATGTTTTTGTTGTCATTTGTCCTTGTTGACAGTGCTCATATAAAGGTATACATGTTTGTGTTTGCTGTTTTGTTCATGGATGTCACATGATTTTATATTTGCGATATGATTACCAAGAGCTTATTTGTTGAAGTACAATTTAAGTTTTTTTCTATTAATTTATTAAGATCGTTGAATTTGTTAACACTATGCGCATTATTCTGTTTAATTAGCAGTAGCACCACCTATACTTTAGACTACTTAAACGTTTTCTCTATACATGTACACAACTTTCTGAACAGAATTTCACCATCTGAACAGAATTTCAACCATCTGCCATTTTAAAATAGAATGAGTTAACCTTCCAATTTCTGATCCATTTAGTAGTGATAACAAAAATGTATTTGTGTAAATGTAATAAATGGATGGTTAGACAAAATGGCAGCCGATTGGGATTCTTCAAAAGGAGATAGTCATGGTTGTTAGACTTGTTCCATACCGAAATTTGAATAATCTGAATATTTTCTGGCCCATTGTGTGATTGAATGAAATGTCTGATTTTCTGGTGCCTAATGTGAATAAAATGTTGCGCATGATTATCTGGCCCCCAACATGAATGAACTGTCCCATTACCGGCCTAGTGTGAATGAACTGTCTGTTATTCTGGCCCTTTGTGTGAATGAACTGTCTGATTTTCTGGACCCCAATGTGAATGACTGGTTTGATTTTCTTGTCCCTAATGTGAATTAACTGTCTGATAATTTCTGGCCCCTTGTTTGAATGAACTGTCTGATATTCTGGCCCCTTGTGTGAATGAACTGTCTGATTTTATGACCTCTTGTGTGAATGAACTGTCTGATTTTCTGGGCCTTTGTGTGAATGAACTGTCTTATTTTCTGGCCCCTAATGCGAATGACTGGTTTGATTTTCTTGTCCCTAATGTGAATTAACTGTCTGATTTTCTGGCCCCTTGTTTGAATGAACTGTCTGATATTCTGGCCCCTTGTGTGAATGAACTGTCTGATTTTCTGGCCCCTAATGTGAATGACTGGTTTGATTTTCTTGTCCCTAATGTGAATTAACTGTCTTATTTTCTGGCCCCTAATGTGAATGAACTGGCTGATTTTCTGGCCCCTTGTGTGAATGAACTGTCTGATTTTCTGGTCCATTGTGTGAATGAACTGTCTGATTTTATGACCTCTTGTGTGAATGAACTGTCTGATTTTCTGGCCCATTGTGTGAATGAACTGTCTGATTTTCTGGCCCCTTGTGTGAATGAACTGACTGATTTTCTGGCCCCTTGTGTGAATGAACTGTCTGATTTTATGACCTCTTGTGTGAATGAACTGTCTGATTTTCTGGCCCATTGTGTGAATGAACTGTCTGATTTTCTGGCCCCTTGTGTGAATGAACTGACTGATTTTCTGGCCCCTTGTGTGAATGAACTGTCTGATTTTATGACCTCTTGTGTGAATGAACTGTCTGATTTTCTGGCCCATTGTGTGAATGAATTGTCTGATTTTCTGGCCCCTTGTGTGAATGAACTGACTGATTTTCTGGCCCATTGTGTGAATGAACTGTCTGATTTTCTTGCTGTTCTATATTTCAATCATATACCATTGAAAGTGTTAACCAACTTACATTCTGATTCCTCTCTTTTCACTCAATTAAACATCTCAAAACAACCACCATGACCCATTTTGTCCTTATTATTTAGTATATGTTATGCTAGTGTTGTCTTAGTCTGCACTCTGCATGTTGTTGTTCTTAGGAAACCAAAGAGGAGGCAGAAAAGCCTGCAGAGGAAGACAAACCAGCTGATGACAAGCCAACTGATGCTGAACCAACAGAGGAAAAAGCTGACACCACTGAGGTGTGCATTATATCAGATCAATAACAATATATATTGAAATGAGATATTGACGATTTAAGTGATGAATCTCAATTTTGGGAGAAAAGTTCACAACATATTCAGCCTATACAAAAAGTTTGTTTATAATTTGAAATTAATTCCTTCCTAATTCATTGCTTGTTGTTTTTACTGTTTGTACTTCATTTATTGCTTCTCCTATACTTGCTAGTTCTTCTTTCCTTGCTTGTCTCATTCTTGTCCACTCCTTTGCCCTCTGTTTTTTCATTTCAAAACATGAATGCATTATATTTCTCTTTTAGGGCAAGTCTGATGAGGAGACTAAACAGGAAGGTGATAAGACTGAGGCTGATGGTGATAAAGAGGAGACAAAGAATGGAGAGAAGAAAAAGAAGGCAAATGGAGAGAAATATGATTCCAGGGTAAGTGAGATCTAGTTGTGCTCCCAACTTGACTAAATCCAAAATGTTATTTTGAATATTCAAACTACAGTTATTGTACTTAGAAGAACATACATGTGCATGTACACGCCCATTGCTAAATACTACACAATTATCGTACTTGGAGAATACACATGTGGTTTGACTTGATATTCAAGGAAGGCAAGAAAGACAAGAAGGGCAAGAAGGGAGACAAAGACAAGAAGGAGGAGAAGGAAGAAGAGAAGAAACCACCAAAGCCACAGACAATCAAAGAACCTATTGAGGCCAAGACAGAACATAGAGGTCAACCTGAACCCTCTGAAGATAAAATACAGTCAATGAAGAAAAAGTAAGTGCAAAAAATGAGTGCAATTATGCAATGAGGCCAAGAAAAGTTGCAATTAAGAGTTATGTCAATGTGTGAATGAAGTTAGGCCTATATATAATGACTTCAAAGTTAGCAATTACATTCTTCAAAAGTGACATTGAAATTTTACATGAAATTGTATAACAACTAGAACATCTTATTACCATATTCATGTTTACTGTTCAAGGGGTCCTTTGTACAGCAAGTGATCTGGACAAGTATTTCTTTGCTACAGCAGTAGACCTGATGTAGTAATTCACTGGACAGAGGGTGTCAAGAATAATTGACAAGAGAATGTATGTTAAGGGACTAGTCATGTTCTTTCTTGTTTTCAAGGATTGATGATATGAGAAAGAAAGATGAGGAAAAAAGACTTCTTGAGATTGCCAAAAATGAACTGGAGTCCTACATATTCACCTACCAGGATAAACTCTACCAGGAGGACTATGAGAAATGCTCAACAGAGGAGGAACGTAGTGTGTTGTCAGGGAAACTAAGTGAGGCTTCTGATTGGCTGTATGAACAGGAAGACAGTGTACCAACTCAGGTGAGTCATGTGATTAACATGTGACATAACTTAATCTATAGTTTGACAGCCTACAATTCTCATGCTTTAAAGTGATTTTTGATATATCTTGAACTTTGTATGAAAGTAAAGCTGATCTTCAATTTCCCTGATTGTGTCTAAGCTAATCTACATGCAATATTTACTTTCAACACAATGCCATCTCCCTTTAGACTAATCAAAGTGGGAAGTATAGAGCACAATTTGAACCTGTCCTACATTGACAATCCTGCATGAAATTAATAAATATATTGAATAAATGTCCAAGATTTGCTCTCTTTATAGATTGTTCTGTCAGATTGCAGGACAATCTACAAAGAATGTACCCTTTAAAAATTGTTTTGTTTTCTCTTAGGACTATAAGGATAAGCTAAAGTCACTCCAGAAGGCCATGAAAGATGTCATATTACGTGTAAAGGAGGTGTCAGAGAGACCTGCCGCCTTAGATGCGCTCAAATCTATGCTCAACTATTCAGTTCACTTCAAAGAAGGCATGAAGAACTTTACAGCAGGTATGACTGAAGGAGATGAGATCTTCACTGAAGTTGAGTTCAACACACTTGCCAAACTTGTCAATGAAACTACGGTAAGTCTCCTAATCCAAATGCTTTTTATTATACCTAAGCATCGTCCATTGTTCATCTTTATTTCAATTAAACGTAACAGTCTGTTTTATGGTTTCTATAAAAAATTTGTTTCAGCATGTTAATAATAATTTTACAATAAACCATCCAGGCTTCATAAAATTATGTCCATTACATTGTGTTAACACCTTGATTCTCGAAGACATAAATATATTTATAATGTCAAAGATTAAGTGTGTTTTTACAAATATTGATGAACGTATTATTAACTGTTTGAGCAATTATCTGTACAACTTTTTTTCACAGAAGATTACATTATAATTTCAGGCCTGGAGAGAAGAACAATTGGCCCTGCAAGAGAAAACCCCCCTATATGAAAAGCCAGTAATCCTTATAGAGGACATTGCAACTAAAGTGCAAGCCCTCGATAGGGAAGTGAAGTATCTTGTTAGTAAGGCGAAATACTACAAGCCCAAACCTAAACCAAAGGAAGAGACTAAAGCATCTAATACAACTACTAATACAACCAGTGAGGACACTGGCACTAAAAAAGTAAAAGATGATAAAAAAGATAAGAAAAAAGGTAAATGTTATATTTTTTGTTATGGCTAGCCCCCCCCCCTCCCCCCTCTTATTATATTATGCCAGTTATTCAACTAAGAAAAAACAAGCTGTCAGAATTCAAAATGTCTATAATCTAAATCTTTGGTAAAAATAACTTTCTGAGCGACACAATGAATTTTTGAAAAAAAGATTTGTCAGGTATTGGCCCAACATGTTATCCTATGAAACCTTTTTTTGTAACATACCACATTGAAAATGAATTATAATTTTTTTTTGTTTCAGTAGAGGATGATGATGACGATGTTCAGGTCGAAGTAGAGAATGGAGATGAACCTGTAACTGAAGAACCAATAAAAACAGAAACTAAAAATACAGGTATGTATAAATGAAGTTTTACAGCATTTTGCTTAGACTGATTTTTCAAAGCTCCTCTGAATATCAAATTAGTTTGACAGTAATCATACTATTCTAGTATTAAATCTTGTCAGACTTGTCAAGTCGAGTAGAATGACTTCTGGATATAAAACTACTAAATCAAAACTTTTTATTAGCCAGAAAACAATGCAGTTTTATGAGGCTTGAAACATTTCTATGTATCTGTCAATTTACATATTGAATATTCTTCTTCCAGAGTCTAATACAGAATCTACCAAAACAGAAGAACAATCTGATAATAAAAAAGAAACAGAATCTTCAGATAAATCAGACAATGATGAAAAATCAGAGAAAGTTGAAACTGAAGAAACTAAACATGGACATGGAGAAAATGGTCCCGATGATGAATTATAACGATGAAAGAATTTAGTGTAATTTCATTTCATTTTACTCAGTGATCCAGCAAGACAGCTATCATTAATAAATCCATTATCATGACATGAATGATTGAATCTAGTGAACCCCTTCAAAATATATCGTGGCAGAAGCATACCCACCATACTTAATCGGAAATATTGCAAAAATATGTATTTCAAAAATCTGATTTTATTGTCCCTTCACCTATTTCTAAGGTCTGTTTGACATTCTGTGGTTGATATTAAATAAGACATGTGATGTATTTTGCAAGGGTTTTCACTTACAGTTCAGTACAGGAGGGAAATAGGCCAGAGAACCTTGACCTCTGTATGTAAATGATATTTATGAATGGAGACCAGATGAATATGAGGAACAAGGAGTTGTGGATTTTGTGTTTGTAAAACAAGTGAATATTGCAGTAAAATAAGTACTTCCTTATATCAATTGTACATCTAGATGTAGGAATCTTGACCAATTTTTTATAGGGTTTATTTGTATTAGATGAAGCTTTGTATTATGGATTTTGAAATTCAGTTTTTAAAATCCATTTAATTTTGAGTGCATGTTATGTGTACTAGCTTCATTTAGGGAGAGGTCTCAAAGAAAAATCTCAGTTTCAGTTAATTTAAAGTGGGAGTATGTCGCGTGTAAAAATGATCTTTATTAATTGCCAAGTGGGAATGTGTAATTTGTTCATAATAGAATTGCCAAGTTACTAGTTAGTGATAATATATTGATTTTAATATGAAAGGATAAAGTGTTTTGAAATTTAAATACCTTTAGACATTAGAAGTGAATCAATTTAACTTTTTGTGTAAAAATGTCAGAATACATGAGCTGATCTCATCAAAGATTGGAAAGAAGGGTCGACCAATTTATTAACCAAAAATAGTCATTTATTTGAATTATTTATTTTGACTTAGGTTTTATATTGTTTGTATGTACATTGCATATCCTTGTCATCCACGAGTTCATGTATTTATGTATAGTTCTGTTAAAATCAGTTGTGTTACGTTGAAACTTGTTTATTGAGATAACGATTTTATAGCAAAATAAAAGACACATTAACCTTCTAATGGATTGAAATGGAAATCCAGCTGATACGACAGAAGAACGAATGCTGGGGGATGGGATTATATCTATATCTCAGTTTCAGTGAAAAATAGCATCTGATTCGCTATATTTGTTAACATTGTAAAACAATTGATTTTAACAGCAATAGTTAATGTTGAATTTCATGTTATATTGTAAGATATGTACAGTTTTTCTTTGTACATTCCAGCTCATAATATATAAAATAAAAAAATGTATAAATAATAACAATACTGATTTATTACTCTCCACAAAACATTATTACAAGCAACATTGCACGCAGCATTCTTTTGTGATCTCCATGTTGAGGCGTGATTTCTGCTATAGCCCATTAGCAAGTTGAATTTTGATCAAAATATTTAATTTTCTCCTTTATTCAGGGAGTTGACTGTGCACTCATTTCAAATAAAAAGAAATCCAATTTACTTTCCAAAAATGATCAGCAAATGTGTGACGTTCTGATCAACTGACAGTGTGACTTTTTTCAATACAACCAAGATAGTATTGCTGCATAAATTTATCATACATTCTATGGTTTCCTCCTGAAAGTTTCACAAAGGAATGTCGAAGACCAATCCTTGTGAATTTTCATTCGAATTCCTACAATTTACCTGACAACAAAGACGACCAAACTAAACAATAAATTTCTCCATGTGGAATATAAGGTGTAAGCTCAATAACATGAATAAGTTTTTTTAACTTTTAGCTGAAAACATTTTCATTTTTTGATTACATGATTGTATCATAAGACGTATTCAGTAAGTCTGCTCCTCCTCGGAGGTTGCGTCATTTTGGCTATATATATCTCATCCTTGTGGCCTGACCGCCATGAGCCTGCCATAAGAATAATATATCTTAAGATTTCTTAAGTTTCTGGGACTTATATTTACAAAGACACAGTACCAACTGTTTAATGATGCAATATAGTACAGCCAAAGAAATCACCACAGTAACTAATACAAGCAGTAGTATGTCCAATAAGAAGTACTGGAAGAAGTTCAGTTCAAACATGGCAGAAGATTTCAAGTGATATGCGCCTTTGTGCTTCATAATATATTCACACCAATACTGAATTGTGTATGTAGCATTGATGGGTTGATCCCGGACCAGTTTCTGCGCTTTTACAGCATTTTTCTTGTACTGAGGGTTTCCGAGGACCTCAACAATCGCAGCAGAAAATGTGTCCAATGTGATATCAGCAAATGATAATGTTAATCCCATTTTATGACGTTTTGTCAAAAGAGCACAGTGATGGCGCTGATCTAAAAATAAAGGAAGACCAATCACAGGTGCAGCGTTGTAAACAGCTTCTCCCGAGCTTCCTGATCCACAATGGGTAATGAATAATTTCAATTTTGGGTGCCCAAGAAGATCGTTTTGTGGTAACCATGGTGACAACATTGTATTGTTGCCTAGTGATAGAGGATCAGAGCCAATATACCTCCATAAAACTCGTTGTTTCAACATCGCAAACGCAGTAGCAAAAATTTCCCGAGTTTGCGCATCGAAACCTGTTGCCAATGTACCTAGTGTGAAGATGATAAAACCATCATTAGCGCCATCTATGAAGTTGAGAAACTTTGCATCAATTGGCTTATGGTCACGATCTAGTAACCCTAATACAGGGACAACATTTGGCATGATTGGACGAGGGTAGAAGTGTGGAAAATTAGATTGAATAAATATGAGGTCTGCATCATTGAGAACAGGTCTAATTTCATGAGGGAGTCCAACTTTATCAGCGACCTTTGCCAAAGCATCATTTGTTGTATCACACCAGTCTTTCATGTAGTACTGTAATGCCACATAGTAAAATGTATTCATTGCTCGTTCTTTAAAAGTCATTTGGTCACTATATGACACAAAATTGATAGGTATATATGATACATGGAATGGCACCAGCCAGTTATCGATATGCATCTCAAAGCCGGCATTTGACCAAAGTATGGCAGGTCTGTCTAGATATTCCTTCATGAGCCTTCCTAAAGCAAAATCTTGACTGTCAAATATTATCAAGTCAAAATTCTGAGCTTTGAGTCCCCACCATTGGTTCATATCTGAGAAATATGCAGAAATGGAATAGTTAACATATATGTCGTGGATTTGTCCTTTTTTAAACATAAATGCCATTTCTTCTAGAATTGTCATTTTCGTGAAATCTGTTATCGTATCCCCTCCCAGATTGTATGCTAGGTCCTTAGTGGGGTACTGGTATGTTATAATGGTAACATTTGCTGCTTGAAGTATTTCTGAGGCAGTGTATTCCGTGTGGACGAAGTATGTTACATCATGGCCAGCATTTGAAAGGAGTAATGCTATCTGCTCCATGGCTCTGATTCTTGATAATTTAAACAGTGGATAAGGTTGAATCAGCACCTACAATAATAAAGTAGCCAATACCACTATGTTAAGGACATTTAGGCAAAATCATATTTGTTAAATTTTACAAGAAAATCAAAGTTATGTCCAAGATAGATTGATGGAGTGCTTCACCTTACTCTGTTTACTTAGTTATGTAATTATAATGTAAAGTAAAATATAAAGTTACCTTTCCAGTGTTGACCTTTTCGAGAGCAAAACAGCTCAGAACTAAAAGTAAAATAACTCTCATATTTGTTTTTTCTCAAGACACTTATGGCAGAATGTGCTCTAGATACTAAGACTTATTTTACTTTATTATCCCAACGAACGAAGTTAGGTAGGGATATAGTGAAGCCCTCCGTCTGTCCATCCATCCGTCCGTCCGTTCCGTCCGTCCGGATGATAACTCAAATATTAGTTGACCGATTATCTTCATATTTGGTGGAAAGATGTATATTGATGAATAGTTTTACGCAAATTTTCAAGATGGCCGCCACTTTAAAAATGACGGGACTTTTTCGCAAAAATCATAAATTTTTCATTCTAAACCAAAGTAATTAATATTATTGTTTGAAATTTTAGTAGTATATTCACAACATCTATCTATTTTACATATATTCCATGTTTTTCATACTGACCCCCAGGGTCAGGAAAATAGAAATTTTCGCTAATTTTTTGATCTTTCTGAAGTATAGCTTTATTATACTCAAATGAAAGGCAATTAAGAGTAGATTGCAAATATTGTATCTTTTTACTGATTCGAGCCTTGTAAAATTCAAAATGGCCGTCCAATGTACGATTTCGCAATAATTTTTCGATCCCTTCAAAGTATGCCTATATTGTACTCAAATTGAAGGAATTTTGTATTAGACCACAATTATGGTATTTTTTCCAGATTTGTACCTCAGAAATTTCAAAATGGCTGCTTTGCAGGAATTCGCAATTCTAAAATCTAAATTTTTCAATTTTAACAAAAGTAATGAGTATAATTGATTGGAATTCGGTAATTGATATTTTATTCGTTGGGATTTGCTACTCCGCGGAGTTGCCGTTATCTAGTTGTTGTATAGTAAAACCTGCATAAATGGAACACCTGTGGTATCTTTGGTAAAAATGTTCCACTTAAGAGGTTTTTCATGTATAGCTCAAGATAAACATCAAGAGTCTACATTCAAGTGGGATATTTTTGCACTTTGCTACCAAATGTAAATAGAAAAAGATGTCAAAAAGGGATGAATTATCTGTTCGATGTCAAAAGGAGTTTTTATCTGCAATCAAATGTGACCTTTCATTGTGCTCAGGTAGTGACTTGTAAAGGTCATAAGTCATTTTTGTACACTACTAGTGTTTTAATGGGTTGATTGTGGTGGCATCTTTTTCATAATGATTCCAGAAAAACAGAATGTCAGATTGATTAGACACCTCTAATGCCTCCGTCACATTTGATCTAATGCAACTACTGTAGATTGGGTTAATTAGGCGCCAGCTTTAATTTGGCGAATTTTGCAAAATAGAAAAAATGCAAATTTACACTTTGCTAAAATTTAAAAGGGATCCTCAAAATTTTGTCTGTTGTGTTCAAGTCACTTCTGGTTTAGTTTTTACAAATTCTGGAAAGGATAAGAGTGTTAATCAGAACATGTCACTTCCAAATTAATTGGCTCTGGGGAGTTGCTTCATTAATTAATTACTAGATATAGTAGTTGAATTGAAGGAACATGTGTAACAATTTGTATTTTGTTCCAGTGTCAAAGCCCTGGTGTCCTCCAAATCAAATAGCCACCAATATGCCAAAAATGGTAAAAATGGCAAAATCACCAAATAAGGTAGCGCTAAATTAACCCAGTATACAGTTGCTGTAGTTTTCCAAATTGAGAGAAATATGCAGCATGGAATATAGGGATAAGCAGTTCGATGTAGATTTTCTATATTGATTCTGTGAAGCTAAATTGGCTGCTTTAGAGCTCATGTGAGTGTGGCTTTACTGTTCAGATTTTCTTGAACATGCCCCTCCAAAATTGTTCTGAGATTTTCCAAAACAGTTTGCTTATGTCATGCATTATGCCACCCTCCTAGGTTGAGTTTGAAAGAACCAAAGTTGATGATGATGGAAAGGAGTCTAGTCTGGGAGCAAAAGTCCAAATAAGAGGTTCCGTGTCCTTTTTAGAGGCGAGCTAAGCGACATACATTTTTATGAACTATACGTGATACTTACCAAGATAAATGATGTTGGCAATTCTGGATCCGCGACGGCGTTGCTATGGTAACCAAGTGGATAAGCCACACCCACTTTTAGGGGCTCTTATCAGTGTTTGACCCCTATCTCCTTCATTATTGATCAGATTTCGATGAAATCCACACCAAATGGAAGGTAATAGATAATGCAATCAAAATATATTAAGTTGGCAATTCTGAATCCGCGGCAGCGTCACTATGGTTACAAAGTAAATATGCCACACCCACTTTTAGGGGCTCTTTTCAGTGTTTGGCCCATATCTTCATCATTATTGCTCAGCTTTAGATGAAATTTGCACCAAATGAAAGGTAATAGATAAAGCAATCATATATTTTATAAAATATGCAATTAGGGTGATTTGCATCTCAATTATGACGTCATAACTGTTTTTTCTTGCATATTTTATCTTAATCATGATGTATAACTCTGTGAAATTACTGTCTTTAAAATGGTCAGTAATGCTTTCAACTAGTTTATTTCTTTTAGTTGAGTTCATAAGTTTATTTCATTCATACATTTATGGTCAGAGAAAAATTGAATAAATGTAATGAAGGATGTCTAATTCAAATAAAAAATGTTAAATTCACACTGTTGCTATGGTAACATCATGTAGCAAAACTGTCCGCTGTAAACAAGAATTCTTCAGGAAATGTTACATTTTGACCAGTTGACTGACATGTATTCTTTTTAAAATTTGATGACAAAATAATCTAATAAATATAGAAAATTATTTAATTTGGATTGTGTTATATTATTATGTCATAAAGGCAATCATTAATCAGGGGTACAGCCAGCTTTCAATCGGGGGGGGGGGGGCGAGCGTGGCATAAGCAACCAAAAATGTTTTAAGATGAATTTTACAAAAATTGATGCAACTTCCTTCAAAATTGAGCTACAAGCTTCAAGTCAAAAGCATTCTAACCAAATAATGACAACAGATTGAATGCATCAGTATTTTTCAAATAATTTTCATGTTTTTCTAACCTGGGTAGCATAACTAAGAAAAAATTAGTTTTTGTTCTAGAGGCATCCCAAATACGGGACATAGACATAAGTGCCCATGATAACATTTTGGGTTAAGAGGTTATGATTTTGTGGTTGTAAAACCTATTTATAATATCATAACTTTAACAAACGTAATTTTACACTGTCATTAACTTAAACTTAGTCCGTTTGTTATAATTCAATACTAAATAGGCCCCAGTGACATTCAAAAGCACGGCAGTGGCCCCATAAGATCCGAAAAAGCATCCCAGTGCCCCAAAAGTGGCCCCCAAAAGCATTCTAGTGGCCCCTGTGGCCCCCCTAAGCACACTTGCGGCTCCTATGACTCCCAAAATCAGCCTTGTGGCCCCCAGATGCCTCAAAAAGCATCCCAATAGCCCCCAGATACCCCCCAAAAGCATCATAGTGGCCCCATGTGGTCCTCAAAAGCATCCTTGTTGTCCCCAGTGACCCAAAAAAAAAAATTAGTGCTGCTATGAGGCCCTCAAAAGTATTCTAGTACCCCTTTGTGACCCATGACATCAACCCAGTGGCCCCATGCGGCCCAAAACGTTGCCCCGAAAAGCATCTTAGTGGCACCAAGTGGCCTCTAAAAGCACTACAATGGCCCTAAACTCATTCTAGAGGCCCCAAAAGGTTCCCAGTTGCCCCCCAGTGACCCCCAAAAAGCATATTAGCGAAACCCAGTGGCCCAAAAAAGCATCCAAGTGGCCCCATTATGCTCCCTAAAAGCATATCAGTGGCCCCCGAAAGCATCCTATTGACCCCCGTGGCCCCAAAAAGCATCTCAGTGGCCTCTAAAAGCCCCCTGTGGACCTCAAAATCATTCTAATTGCCCCCAGTGGCCCAAAAAGCTTCCAATTTCCCCCGCCAGTGACCCCCAAAAAGGATACTAGTGACACCCAGTGGCCCAAAAAGCATCCAAGTGGCCCCATTATGCCCCCTAAAAGCATCCTAGTGGCCCCCGAAAGCATCCCATTGGCCCCCTGTGGTCCCAGAAAGCATCTCAATGGCCCCAGGTGACCTCTAAAAGCACTTCAATGGGCCCTAAAATCATTCTAGTGGCCCCCAGTGGCCCAAAAAGCTTCCCATTTGCCGCCCCAGTGGCCCCCAAAAAGCATACTAGTGACACCCAGTGGCCCAAAAAGCATCCAAGTGGCCCCATTATGCCCCCTAAAAGCATCCTAGTGGTCCCCGAAAGCACCCTATTGGCCCCCTGTGACCCCAAAAAGCATCTCAGTGGCCCCAGGTGGCCTCTAAAAGCACTCCAATGGGCCCCTGTGGACCCCAAAATCATTTTAGTGGCCCCCAAAAAGCATACTAGTGACACACAGCGGCCCAAAACGCATCCAAGGGCACCATTATGCCCCCTAAAAGCATCTAAGTGGCCCTTGAAAGCATCCTATTAGCCCCCAGTGGCCCTCAAAACCATCCTAGTGGCCCCCTGAGGCCGCCAGAAGCATGCAAATGGCTCCTCATGGCCATCAAAAGCACCCTGGTGGCCCCCTGTGACCCCTAAAAGCATCCCGGTGGCCCACAAGCCCCAAACGTATTCCAGTGGACCCCCGTGGCCCCCAAATGCATCCTAGTAGACCCCTGTGGTCCCAAAAGAAATTTAAGTGGCCCCGATGGCATCCAAAACATGCAAGTGGCCCTCGATAGTATGGTAGCGGCCCCCTATGGCCTATGGACTGATATATCAATTCGAGGGAAATTGGACCCTTTC